AATAAAATTATAACTGCTTTGAATATCTCTTTACAATATTTTTATGTTTAAATTTGAATTAAAAAATTTAGGTCACAATTCTATAATATAATTTTACAAGGAATTGTCTTAGATAACATTTTTTTTTACAAGGAATTACCTTCCCTGTCTGGTTCTTACAAAAAGCACACGAAGCACGGGACCACTTAGGACCGGCCCACGAAGCCCGAGCCCACTTAGGACCAACCTGCGAAGCCCATTTAGGACCGGGCCCGGCCCACATTACAACCCTAATCCAAAGGTATAATCCCTTGAATGGCATTAATGTTTATCGTTTTCTTCGCATCTCCCGATTGTGGTACTCCCGTTCGCATAGAATTCAGTGTCTGATTGCCTTGGATCTTCTGACCTCCTCCTCCCGTCTTCAATTTTCTCGCCAGTGTCGGCTGTCGCTGAGAGAGAATCGCATCTTAGAGAGAGAAAGTCTTTTATGTTGTTTTTTTTATTTATCCGTTTTTTCATTATCCATTTTCGATCCAAACCATATCCAATCCGACCCACCCGCTTGCCACTCCTATTGCAGTCCAATAAACTTTCATATCTACTCCCTTTGGTCCAAAATATTAATCATTTGGCAAACTGAATCTGTTGTAAAACGTTTGACATAAACTTAGAAGAACAGTAATGCTTATTCATTATTACGTATTAATTATGTGGGACATTTAAAAAGAAAGATAATGGATAGTTTAGACTTTAGACAATACTCTTACAATTAGGACTATTAAATATCTTTCATAAGGGATACAGAAAATTTTAAAAGACTTTGAATAGGAGTAGTAAATTTTGTGCTGCTTCGCTTTAGCATTAGCAAAGTATATTACTTTCTTCGGTCAAATATAAGTGTCTTTTTAACCAAATCAAATTGGTCTAAAATAAGTGTCAAGCTTTATGAAACCAAGACAGATTTACCATTGCTCCAATCTATTTACACAACTTCTTAGAAAGACGAATAGATCAAATAACTTTTATAATTACTTAATATTATTAGTCGCTTTTCTTAAAAAAACTTAAAATAATACCTTATGGATCGAAAAGTGTAACTATCAACATTAAGCCCTAAAACCCGTGCGGACATTAAAGTGTATCCCCGTCTTCAACATTAATGTTCCTGAAAAAATAATGTTCAAAGTTACGGAAATTACGAATGAGTGAATCTGTAAAAATTCTAGGTTGGTTTAACAGATAAATACTCTCTCCGCCCATTTTAATTATTTTTTTTTGGTTATTTTCACCCACATTAAGTAATCCACCTTTTGATATTAATTAACATAAAATTGATCATATTAACCCTGATTTGTTCATAATACTCATAGGCCAACTTTGAAAACAAGAAGTTAATTCCTCCTTGATAACTGAAAATCTCAAATATTGTGGACCACAAAAAAAATGCTAAAAAATCAATTGAAGTGGATCAGAGGAAGTACTCCCTCCGGGCCAAAATAAGTAATTTTTTAGATGTTTTCACACAGATTAAGAAATCCATCTTTTAACATTAATTAGCAAAGAAATTGACTATTTTAACCTTTACTATCTTTTCACATAAGCACTCCTAACACATACTCCAACACTATTTACTCCAAGGGCAATGTAATAAAAAAAATAATTAATTCATTCTTGAAATGTGGAAAACCCACTTATTTTGGACCACAAAAAAAAAGGCCAAAAAATCACTTATTTTGGATCGGAGGGAGTACTTATTTGTATCGGGAGTTTACGGCACTCCCCTAAATACGTGACACATGTCTCATAAATATGATTATCAAGAAATCATAATTAATCAATTAATATATATTTTTATTGAAGTTATCACTTAAATTGTAAATTAGTATAATATATATCTATATCTATACTATATTAAAAGCACGAAGGCCCTAATTATCGAAATATCATTCGTCTTTTTTACCCTTTAAAAATCGATTTTAATTGGACTAATTTATAATTAAATTATTTTTCTAATATTTGACACTGAGAAAGTAACTAGAATTTTGATTATCGAATCTTTCCTTATTGAACTAGATAGAAAGTTTTAATATTAGGAATCTATAATTTGTTTCTTTTTTGAATAATTTAAGTCAAGTAATAATTTAAGCAAGATTTTCGCCTCTAGTTACATATAAAAATAAAAAAAAGTTTTTAGCTTTATGGACGGGTTTTCGTTATCTAAGTTGAATAATGTTTGGATTGGCTTTTAAGCTGGTCAAATCAGTTTTTAAGCTCTTTTTAGCTTTTTTCAGTGTTTGGCAAAGTCAAAAAGTGCTTAAAATAAGTTAAAAACTGCTTAAAACAAGTCAAAAACAACAAGATGGGCAACCTCAACTTAGAGGGTGTTTGGATGGGCTTAAAAGCTGGTCAAACCAGCTTTTAAGCACTTTTTTAGTTTTTGGAGTGTTTGGCAACAAAAAAAGCTGCTTAAAAAAAGCTAAAAAGTGCTTAAAAAAAGCCAAAAGCAACAAGTTGGCTGACTCCAACATTTTTGATTTTGGCTTAAAAGCCATTTTAGTTTGACCAATAAAATTACTCTCTTGCCCTTATAAGTTTTTATAATACCAAAATTACCATCTTCTTTCCTCTTCCTCTTCAGTTTTCTGTACTTTTCTTCAAGCAATTGCCCTTATATTTTTGTCTTTTTAATAAGAAAAAGTGCTTACCACCACTTGTTTGCCAAACACTTCAACAGCTTTTTTTAAGCTTCAGCACTTTTATCCAAATATGTAACTGCTTATTTATAAAATAAGCTCCGGCACTTAAAAGTTGCTTTTAAGCACTTGTGCTTAAAAGCCACTTTTTTTAAGCCAATCCAAACGGGCTCTTATTGTTTTTTGGCTTAAAAGCTATTTCTGCTGAAAAGCCACCTTTCTTAAGCCAATCCAAACAGGCTCTTAGTCTGATCTAACAATTGTTTCCAAAACTTTCACTACTATCTACTGTAGGATATTTTAAAAGTTAAAATCTCTTGTAGAAAACTCAGTCAATAAAATAAATAGTCTAATTAAAATATTGCTATATACATGATTTATATAATTAACATTAGCTAATTTAGAATTAACACTTAATTAGTTGATTGAAATCTTGTAATGAACTTTCTGTCTTTTTTAAACTCTCTAATATAGAATATTTGACGTTTATCAGAAACAACAAAGGTAATAATATGATATATAAATATCTATTTTTTTATTCATGCATATCTTTTGTTAAATAAATATGTTTAGTTTATATTACTTTAAAAATAAATTAAGATACAAGCATATTATACTTGTGACTACAATAATATTTTAAACTTTCGCTAAACTACTATAGTTGGATCTTTTAAATAATGATAATTTGTCATTTTTTTCCTATAAATTTGAAAAGTTATCCTCATTACAATAAATTTTTGAATTTTCAAAACTAATTGGTAGTTCCATCAAGGATAGAAATAAATTTTGGGTAGTCTTTAATCTTGTTTGACATTTGGGTATATAACGTGGTAAAGAAGAAGTTTTAGACTCTGACGAAAACAAATTAATTAATTTTTTAACACAAGAATAGGTTTTTAGATTACATGTAGTTTTGATAAATTGAGGACGGTGAATAAGGACTTTTTATTGTTACCATTGCTTTTTATCCCTAACCCCTAATGGTCAAAAAACCACTCCCAGATCCAACCCCAGCCGGCGACTCCCCGACGCCGGCGACCACCTCCTCCAACAGGTTACCCCCCCCCCCCCCTCCTCCCTCATCTCCCTCTCCTCCCCTTCTCCTCTGTCTCTCTCCCTACACGTTTTTGCTGGTATTTATCTTAACTTTGTTTCTCTTCTACTTCATTCATTATTGCACATTCTTCGTGTTAATTTCCTACCTGATTTGGTATTTGCTTTTTGGATCTGGGTTTACTCTGTTTTACAGCCAACTTGTTTGTAGAAATTGAAGGCTTCATATTTGGATTTGGTGCTCTATTTGTGCTTTAGATATTCTTTTTTGTGGGTATTTATTGTACTGATTTGATCCCTACAAACTTTAAGAGATTCTACTTTTTCCATGGATTTTTCTTTCTTTCTTCTTTTTTCGTGGATGTTGCGTATATATGCTGACAATTACCATATATAATTTTGCGTATATATGCTGATAATTTTTCGGTTTTTATTCATTATTGAATAAAAACAATTCCCAAGAGGCGGCGGGAATTGGATGTGAACGTGCTAGGTGGACGCAACATCGTCGTGCATAGCAAGACAATTCCCAGGTTCTACTCGCGGGAGTTGGTACCTCCCGTTTTCCTTTTTCCTTTTGTTGCGTTAGTTAAATTGCTGCCATTTTAGTTCGTATTAGTTTATTCACCGTATTAGTGTGCATGTAGTTGCAACTTGTCTTCTTCTAGTTTGGCATGTTGCCTTGTGTGTATTAGTGATTCCCATTAGTCTGTCGTAGGTATAGTGGCTGTGGTCCGGGATGGTCAAGTGAGGTCATGTCCTCGGGGGGAGCGGGGGTAGGGAGGGAGGTAGGGCAGGGGTTAGGGGGCGGGGCGGGAGGCAAGGGAGGTAAAGGGAACAAGGGTGTCTATAGGTTGAGAATTGGGTCATGGAACGTAGGTACATTGACGGGTAAGTCAATAGAGTTGGCGAAGATCCTCTAGAAGAGGAGGTTCTATATAGCGTGTGTCCTGGAGATAAGGTGGGTAGGGTCGAGGGCGAAGGACGCAAACGGGTATAAACTTTGGTACTCAGGAGTCCAGAGATATAAGAATGGAGTGGGTATCTTGGTGGATAGGGATCGTAGAGAGTCTGTGGTTGAGGTTAGAAGAGTGAATGATAGATTGATGATTATTAAGTTGGTGGTTGGACAATGCACCCTAAACGTCGTTAGCGCCTATGCACTGTATGCAAGCCTAGATGTGGAGTTTAAATGGCGCTTCTGGGAGGGGTTAGATGAGATTGTGCGACAGGTTCCGCCTGCTGAGAAGCTATTCATAGGAGGGGATTTCAATGGTCATATTTGGGACGACCGCAGGTGGTTATAGCGAGGTGCATGGAGGCTTCGGTTTTGGGGAGAGGAACGAAGGATGTACTTCTCTGTTGGACTTCGCTAAGGCTTTTGGGTATGTGATTGCGAACGCTAGCTTTCCGAAGAGGGAGGAGCATTTGGTTACTTTTCAAAATGTAGTGGCGAAGACTCAGATTGACTATCTCCTCCTCAGGAGGTGTGATAGAGGGTTGTGCAAGGATTGCAATGTGATTCCAGGTGAGATACTAGCGATGCAGCATAGGCTCTTGGTGATGGATATTGGTATTATGGTAAAGAGGAGGAAAAGGTCCGCTCGAGGAAGGCGGAGAATCAGGTGGGGAGCCTTAACTAAGGACAAAGCTAAAGAGTTGGAAGGGCGGTTGTCAGCTATGGGAGCTTGGAGGAGCAGTGGTGACGCGAGCACTATGTGGTCAGCGACAACAGACTGTATAAGGGAGGCTGCGAGAGTGGTGTTAGGGGTCTCGACGGGCGTCCCTGGTGGGCACAAAGGAGACTGGTGGTGGAATGAAGTGGTCCAAGGTAAAGTGGAGGCGAAGAAGGCGGCGTACCTGAAGTTAGTGGGGAGCATAGGTGAGGATGAGAGGCGAGTGTGCATGGAGAGGTATAAGGTAGCTAGGAAGGAAGCTAAGATGGCGGTCACGGAGGCTAAGACTACGGCCTATAGTCGTATGTACAAGGAACTGGGGGGAAAAGGCGTTATTCCGGCTGGCCAAGTTGATAGAGAGGAAGGCTCGGGATTTGGACCAAGTGAGATGCATCAAGGACGAAGATGGTAGAGTATTGATGGAAGATGCACAAATTAAGAGGAGATGGCAGATTTACTTTCATAAACTTCTGAATGAAGAAGGGGATAGGGATATTGTGCTAGGCGAATTGGAGCAGTCCGAGAGCCACCGTGACTTTGGGTAATGCAGGCGTATCAAGGTTGAGGAGGTCGTGGGAGCTATGCGTAAGATGAATAGGGGCAGAGCAACCGGGCCAGACGAGATTCCGGTAGAATTTTGGAAGTGTATGGGGAGAGCAAGTTTGGAGTGGTTGACTGGGTTGTTTAATGTTATTTTTAAGGCGAAGAGGATGCCGGATGAGTGGCGGTAGAGTACAGTGGTTCCATTGTATAAGAACAAAGGTGATATCTAGAGTTGTTACAATTATAGGGGTATCAAATTATTGAGTCATACTATGAAAGTGTGGGAGAGGGTGGTTGAAGCGAGGGTGAGGATGACAGTGTTTGTATCCGATAACCAGTTCGAATTCATGCCGGGTAGTTCTACTAGCAAAGCTATACACCTTGTTAGGAGGTTGGTGGAACTGTACAGAGAGAGGAAGAAGGATCTACACATGGTGTTTATTGATCTAGAGAAAGCGTATGACAAGGTTCCTAGAGAAGTTCTCTGGAGATGCTTGGAGGCAAAATATGTGTCGGTTCCCTATATTATGGCGATTAAGGACATGTATGATGGGGTTAAGACTCGGGTTAGGACAGTAGGAGGCGACTCTGAGCATTTTCCGGTTGTAATGGGGTTACACCAAGGCTCTGCGCTCAGTCCGTTCTTATTCGCCCTGGTGATGAAAGCGTTAACATGCCATATTCAAGGGGAGGTGCCATGGTGCATGCTATTCGCCGATGACATAGTTCTAATTGATGAGTCGCGAGCCGGTGTTAACGAGAGGCTGGAGGATCGGAGACATGCTCTTGAGTCTAAGGGTTTCAAACTGAGCAGAACGAAGACGGAATACCTGGAGTGTAAGTTTAGCGCTGAGCCGGGGGAAGTGGGTGTGGATGTAAGACTTGACTCACAGGTCATCCCAAGCAGAGGCAGCTTCATGTACTTTGGGTCGGTTATCCAGGGGAGAGGGGAGATCGACGAGGATGTCATACACCGTATTGGGGTAGGATGGATGAAGTGGAGGTTAGCATCTGGAGTCCTGTGTGACAAGAGAGTGCCACCGATACTCAAAGGTAAGTTCTATAAAGCGGTGGTTAGACCGGCCATGATGTATGGGGTTGAGTGTTGGCTTGTTAAAAACTCACATATCCAAAAGATGAAAGTAGCAGAAATGAGGATGTTGAGGTGGATGGGCACACTAGGATTGATAAGATTAGGAATGATGATATTCGGGAGAAGGTGCACGTGGCCCCATTGATGACAAGATGCGAGAAGCGAGGCTCAGATGGTTCGGGCATGGTCAGCGGAGAAGCTCGGATGCTCCGGTAAGGAGGTGTGAGTGCTGGTTGTGGAGGGCACGCTAAGAGGTAGAGGGCGGCCTAAGAAATATTGGGGAGAAATGATAAGGCAGGATATGGCGAGACTTCAGATTTTCAAGGACATGACACTTGATAGGAAGATGTGGAGGTCGAGTATTAGGGTTATAGGTTAGGAGATAAGCGAGTCTTGCTTTACTTCGTATCTTTGTGAGACTAGTCTGGTAGGGTTTTTGTGTAAGATAGCTAGTGACAATGTTGTGTCTTACTATTTCACTTTTCAATGCAGGACATATTTACTACCTAATGCTTTTGCTTCGCATCTTTCTTCTGGATTTCATGTTGTTCCTATTTTTCCTATGATTTATGTGGTAATACTAATATTCTCCTTTTGTCTTTTTATTTTCTTGAGCCGAGGGTCTTTCGGAAACAGTCTCTCTACTCCTTCAGGATAGGGGTAAGGTCTGCGTATACGTTACCTTCCCCAGACCCCACTAGTAAGATTTTACTGGGTTGTTGTTGTTATTGTTGTTGTTGAGGATGGCGAATAAGATTTTTATACTTAAGTTACCAAAAAAACTCACCATACTGAAAACAGAACTATAAAAACCAAAGACTAAAGGAAAAACAAATTAAGAATCAAAATTGACCGGAAAAAAAGGATTAAAAAATATGGCACGTTTCTAATTTTTATCAAGCTCTTTGTAATATTTGGAAAAGTCAAATAGTTTATGAAAAATATCTTAACTTCATTTCTACATAAAACATTTTTTTATAATCATGACATATCTATCTAATCTATTTTTTATTCTCAAAAAATGGAATCCATATCTTCATAAATTAGAATTAAGTTGAAAGTTTTCTGTTCATTTTCTTACAGGATTAAAAAAAAGTTTTTATGTCGCGTATTGCTAATACAACTAACTTAATTTAATTTCTCATCATGTTCAAAAGATATTGAGTTTAGCTACTATGTTAAAATAATTATTTTATTATTTAAACAAATTCTTGCATTTATTTTAACCTAAATTGTTAATTTTCAAACTTTTGTTTGTTATTTTATATTTTTATTATTTTTTATTAATTGACGCAGTACTCACGTGCAACGCACATACGTTTAAACTAGTTTGATCTAAATACTTTGTGCATATAAATTTTACTGGTTGAATAGTTTGATACCGATAAACCCTAATCGTTACTTGTGCCTTAATTTAGTCTAAGCTACTTCGCTCTCTCATGTGACTACATTTTTTTTAGCCCTACTCCCAAAACAGACCCATTGGCCGCTACCGCTTCCTCGATAACCAAATCACACTTTTAACTTATTTTCACCGTAGCTCACTCAGTGACTATGGCAGTAAAAACAAACGACAATTTACCATCTTGTTTTTAACTTTACCCTGTAACATAAGAAGTAAAATTAAAGAAATATTAGAAAGAAAAAACAAGAAGCTAGCTAGCTAGCTGCTTTAATTAGGTGGTCCTCTAAAAGCACGCTTTTTCTTGAAAGCTTTACTCAAATTAATTTTAATGAGTATCGAACTTTGAGAACAGTCTAGTCTATAAAATAAAAAATTATGTCTCTCATGCAGACCCGGATCTATAGTATTAGCTAGGGGATACAAATCGAATCGAAAAATCGTATCAAACCGAAAAGTCAAATCAAATCGATTAAAAAAATTTAATGAGGTTTGGTTTGATTCGGTTTGGTATTGAATATAAAAATATATAATTTTTATATATACTTTTAAGATTTAATATAGAATTTCTTTAAAAAAAATTCAAGAAAATTTGGAATTTTTTTATGGGATGTAATATTTAATAGGATATGAAGTGCTCCATATTTATTAACTTTAAATAATATGATGTATGATCGTTCTTATCAAGTGTTATTGAAATGCGACAATCTCTTTGTTCTTACATATTCATATGTCAAGAACTATTAAATTCTTATATCTTTTTCGAAATTAAAGTGGTATTTTCGATACTTGAAAATTAAATAAAAATATCATTATTTAGGTATTATATTTATTTTTATATCTAATTATTAAATTCGGTTAACCTTAAAATATACATCGATGAAAATTATTGTCAGATAATTAAAAATATAACTTTCATATTTTATTAAAAAATTATCTCATAAGAATATTTTAATAGATCAAATGTTTGTCAATTTTTTATTTTTTACTAAATATATATATATATATATATATATATATATATATATATTTACTTATAAAAAATTTAACAAAGTAAGATTGAAATAATATTTAAGTAACAAAAAAGCTCGAAAAACCCGACAAAATCGTACCAATTCAAACCGATATAGTTGGTTTGGTTCGGTTTTAATAAAAACCGAACAAATCCGGTCCATGTACACCCCTAGTATTAGCCACGAGTTCATGTAAACTCAGTAATTTTTGCATAAATTATATATATATATATTAACAAAATTACTAAATATAACTTGAGATCGTTATAGAAAACTATAACCTTCAAATCTCGAATCCAACTCTCATTTTAACGAGAATTTAAGAAAAGAAAGATAATACATAATTGGTTGCTTAATCCAATCCCCTTTCTTTTTATCTTTCACAATCTCCTAAGCTGCCTCGCTCGCTGCTGTATCACTCCAATGTTTCTCCCTTTCCCTAGGCATTCTTGCAACCTCTTCTCACTCAATGGCCAAAGTTATCCTTCTACTAAAGGATTAATTAGATACCCTTTTGTCTAATTAAAACATCTACTTGTCATTTAAAGCTTCTGCAACCTCTCCTTCACTGAGGGAGATATTCTTCTATAAGGGATGTCATCTGATATTACTTTGTCAAAAACATTCACTAATCACTTTGTTAAATAAACTTTAGTTAAGAAAAATTTGACATTTAAATATAATACAACTGCATTTTCTCTCACAAAAAGTTTCATTTAATAAGGAAAGATAATAAAGCTCAAAGCTCCACTCCATGCTCTATTATTAGTAAACTACTCACGAAGCAGATAAAATAACAGACTCGAGCGAAGGGAAAACAACGTAATAACTTGGTTTTGTGCCACCATCTTTACCACAACCACTTGTAATACCACCGTACGTGGAGGAAGAATTCATTATTTCCGGTAAAAAAAACGTTTACATAGAACTTTCTTTTCAATATCAAGAATAGCATTTTAAGTTTTACTTCACGTGCATGAAATGGAGATGGTGTGAGTTTGAAGCATTCCCATCACTAAACTAAGCCTCATTCACATGCATGTTGTCTCCTACAGTAGACTTTCACTTCCACCATTTGTGTTGCCATTTCTTGACTTCCACTGTTATTCCATTTCAAAGGCTCAAAAAATGAAGATGACAATCCATCTTTTTGTTACCTCTTCACCAACTTTTTCATATTTTTTCATTCTTTTCTTCTTCTGTATAAGTTTGAGTCCAAGAAAAGCTGTATTAGTGAACTCTCTCTCCTCTGATGGACAAGTTTTGCTCTCTCTTCTCAAAGCAGCTGACCCTTATGCTAAATCATCATCCTCTGTACTTTCTTCTTGGAATACTTCAAGTTTAACTCCATGTTCTTGGCAAGGCATTTCTTGTTCTCCTCAACAAAGAGTTATTTCAGTTTCTCTTCCAAATACATTTCTCAATCTGTCTTATTTACCCTTTGAACTCTCTTCCCTTTCATCCCTTCAGCTTCTCAATCTCTCTTCTACAAATATCTCAGGCACAATCCCTCCATCCTTTGGTTCATTTACTCTTCTTAGGCTTCTGGACCTTTCTTCCAACTCTCTTACAGGGCCTATTCCCTCTGAACTTGGTGGGCTTACTTCACTTCAATTCCTGTTCTTGAATTCAAACAGATTGACTGGTAAAATCCCACAACAACTTGCCAATCTTACTTCA